AAAGATTTTAGTACTTCCTTAATATATGTTCCTGTATATATATATATATAATAAAAAAAAAAACATCTAGCAATGAATCATTCGTTGAGACCAGAAAAAAAGTGTATTAAGAAAATTATGTTACCAGTAGCCAAATAGCTATTTAGCATCTTTTATTCCCCAGTTGTACCGTATGTAGCCTTTCTAAAACGTATTCAAATAGGGTCAATTTTCTATTCACGTCAACTTTAAATATACTAAAACTCTGCTTTGTTTGTCAAGGGAGAGAGAGAAATCCGTATATTTCATATAGACCTACGACCAGCAGCGCCTCGCTGATGCAAATGAGCGGTGGAGCACGTCCTGTGGGGAAAACATGCGCGAGAACATCCTCAACTTTCCATTCATAATTCATTCTCACTTTACCATCCCACTGCCCTCTGGTTGATAATGATACCGTGTATGCATCTGAAGAGCTCCCAGCTCGCTTCTCTTTATGACAGTACACGTTTCCCAACAACTAATAACTGCAGAGCGAGGAAGCATCGCAAGAACACACATTCGCACTCGACCGTGCGTTCACACACACACACACCGTCTACGAGGGTATGCACGCTCAGTGAAAAGCTACAGGCGCACGCATTAAGGTGCATCTATGGCTGGCAGAGTCTGGCTAGGTCCCAGGAGGCTGCAGTTTTGTTGTGTGCGAGTTGGGAGTGGGGAGTTCAGGCGCTTCAGCAAAGTCTCAGCCATGAAACCAGCTGCTGTTACCGTCTGTTAGCCAGCCATCACTTTAGCCCAGCATGGCAGCAAACATATTATACTTCTATCTCACACACACACTCATACTCCCCACGTACCCAAACAGCCCAGCCTCTCTGGAAACGGCAAGTCATTGTCTGCCTGCATTGTCTTGTTTATTTTATCATTTCTTTCTGGTGCAGATTTATTTATAATACTGCATACATCAGTTTGCAGCTCAGCTCATGGGGCGTCTTGTTTATCTTGCAATTGCTCATCAATCATTTCCGGGGACGAGTCTCAGGGGCTGATGGGGCCCCTCTCTCCCTGCACTGTGGCCCCTGACAGCACCTTTTAATTAGAGATGCCAGTCAAAATCTGTCATGCACAATCCTCTCTCGTTCTCCCTCAACCGATTTGTCAAGTGCCATGGGTAGTTGCTACGTCTGTTTGCCCATCTCGCTTTCATTCCCGCTTTTTATAAAACCACAATTTGTCATGTGCTGACCTTAACACTAATTAATTCTGCTTCTAATCCCATCTCCTATCTCTCTCTCTTTGTTTCCCATTCTATCATGTCATCTTCATCCTGATGCTGCTTTCATTCAACTCGCTGGGCTCTTCTGTGTGAATGTCATTCTGAAAGACTTCCTGCTGCACCGCATTCATTCTCTCTCTCTTTTGGTTTCTTGGTGAGCCTGGGACCATGTCGGCACTGTTTAAGTCATTAATCTGCTCGCTGTGATGCCTGCTGTGGGATTGAGCTTGAGATACAAGGATAGGACGCGGAATGGAAGACACTGGAGGAAAGAGTTACAATAACCCCACTCATATTTCAACCACATCATTCCAAAAACAAAAACACATTTGTATTATTTTTCAGTTGGGTGTAGAATTAGGTTTGTGTTTTCTTTTTAATTATTTTAACAGTATTTAAGCATTTTCTTTTTGTCTTTTTCTATATTGGCTGCATACCTGGAGGTGTGGCCTAGCTCTTAATGAGTTCTTTTTAAATTTTCTGATATTTTTGTGTGTTTTGAAAGCCTGAGGAAGGTTGGTTTGACCAAAACATTGCTAATAATAATAATAATTTTGCAATGGTGCAGGTTTGAGTAGTGTGTGGGATTCTGCATTTTTTTTTAGTTTATATTGGGCTTTTATCCCACACTCCTAGGAGTGATTGGTGTGTGCAAGGAACTATGTTTGGACAAAACAAATGATAAAAGTATCATACATCAACACATTAATTAGTAGGGGTGGGTGATATACCGGTAGACATGATTAACCAGTAGAAATTTGTCATTTTTTGATTTTGGACTATCATCTCTATATCGTGATTACACGCTCATGTGATGTTGCTGTGCTACGAGGTCACGGAAATTTATAGTTTGCAAAAAGGAGTGATTTTAAGCTGTTGAAATGCAATCAGCAGCGAAAGAGAACTCCTTTAGCTATATGCATGAGCTGTTTGAAAGATTGTTTCTGAGCGCTGACAGAGAGGCGTGCGCATGTGATTTTTGCTGCTTTATAGGCTTTGAACGGTTAAATACACACACGTGTATGTGTCAAAATTCTCATCTTTGCAGGTGTCTAAACAGAGTAATTTAGATCTTAAGTGAAAGCAAACAGTTGAGAAAATAAACATATGTGTAACAGTATATTGGATCTGGGCAGCTCCTAAAGTGATAGCAGTCACATTAATCAAACAACAAAAGAGAGAAAATCTCTCACTGCTCTTGACTAAATGTGACCCTGGACCACAAAACCAGTCATAAGGGTAAATTTTTCAAATTGAGGTTTATACATCATCTGAAAGCTGAATAAATAAGCATTGATGTATGGTTTGAATTATAGGACAATATTTGGCCGAGATACAACTATTTGAAAATCTGGAATCTGAGGGTGCAAAAAAATAAAAATATTGAGAAAATCGCCTTTAAAGTTGTCCAAATGAAGTTCTTAGCAATGCATATTACTAATCAAAAATTACGTTTTAATATATTTACAGTAGGAAATTTACAAAATATCTTCATGGAACATGATCTTTACTTAATATCCTAATGATTTTTGGCATAAAAGAAAAATCAATAATTTTGACCCATATAATGTATTTTTGGCTATTGCTACAATTATACCCCAGCGACTTGAAGACTGGTTTTGTGGTCCAGGGTCACAAATAACTTTTGTAAATTTAATAAGAAGAATACAGGTATTTCATTTACACAGTGAAGAATATGTTTAATACATTTGATTACTTTATATAGAATATATATAGCACTCCTTATTTATTTGTTCTACAGTAGTTTTTTTGTCCTATTGCTTGTAATCAGTTTCTTATTCTTACTTAATCGCTGACTGTGATATTGACACTGGTGACAAGAATTATGAAATTTTTATAGTATCAAAAATGTTGATATCATAAAGACCTTATTTAAAGCATAAACAACTATATCTTCATATATATCATTACTGTGAAATAAAATTACTCATATCGTGATATAAGATTTTGGTTATATCGCCCACCCCTAGTGATTAGTCACATGGCATGTATTTCAAATGGTGTCGAAGAGATGAATGGGAATGCTAATGGATATTTCAACTTCTGCTATGCAGTATTACACATTAATGTCAGTAAAAACTGATGAACAAATCAGAAAAGGCTGTTTAGTGGTAACATGTGGGAAAAACCGCTTTACTGTATAGTAAC